CTAAAGTGTAATTTAAAAATGAGAAAATCGATAGACACATTCTCATATAACATTACCAAAAAGTGTAATATTTACACTTTGATTTTTCAGGCTGAGTTAAGTACTCATTAGATTTTTCATAAGGTTTCCTTTAAGAGGTTTTATAAAATCTGTTGAGAATTATATTCACTTCAGCTAAGTGCAGAACATGATTTTCAGAAGATTGCATGCCTCCCATCTTCTATATGACTTTTTTTTTGATATAGTGTTCATGAAAATATATTCTCAGAATATGAGTCAAGGGAAGAAAAATGAAATTCACAACTTTTCTATAAGTTGTGATTATACGTGAGAGTATGCACGTGTTCTCAACAGCAGCACCAACTACTCTCTGTCACTTATTCGTTCTTACATGGGCTAAGGTTACTATAGCTACTTCTGGCTAATCCACCATTCAGCCTTCATCACTAATCCAAAACCGAATGATTCCTGGCACGCAACCTTGACAGAATGGTTGAATAACAAACAAGCTATTAAGCAAAGATCAAATGTGATGATTATGTATGATTACGTAAAAACTGACACCCTACCTTCTATGATGTTTTCCTTCAGAAATACTCGTTGTTCTAGGCGGAACTTATCAATCTTTTGAGCAGAAGTGAAATTGATTTCTCGCGAAACCGTGCGGCATTTCAGGATGCTTTTGGGAACATGTGCTGGAGAATTGATATGGACTGCATCATAAGATTAATGGTAAAGTTAAAGCTCACCTTCATGCACACAGTTGGGATCAGCCATATCTTCGGTGCTCTGCCATAAAACTTTACCACTTTCCGCATCACGCAAATTCATCCAATTTCTAGGGAAAAAATCACTCTTTCGCAAACAATGAGCTCAAAACGCGCGTTTGAACTTACAATTTAAAACCGTGTAGAATACTGTCGGCCTTTTCGTTCATAATGTCCCTATCATCTCGTGGAGCAGCAGCTAACATTTTCGTTTGCAATGGTTTTTAGAAACCCCTGCAAATTAATCTTGAAATGCTTCTAACGTAGAAGAGTTATACAAAACGGAAAAGATGATGACGCAAATGTTAAACATTCGATCAGATCTAATGCAATCGTACTTCATATCAGTTTCACGAATGAGAAATCTTGGACTGTAACATGAGAGCTTTGCTGACGTAACCACACACTAGGGCCAACTTTGGAATAACACGGAAGTAAACGGTGATACATCCAAAATTTCTATTAGCGGCCCAAAATTCGCTTATGATGCAGGCTTCTCTCAGCAATTGTTTTTCTACGTAGGGAACGCAGCAGGAATTCGTGAGTAGCTGAGTAGAAGTGTTTGTTTGTTATTCCTCTGCGAGAGCAAGCACTTTCCTGCGTTCGAATACTAGTACGGTGAATTTGGCCTACACGTTCGCCAAAAGTCCAACACTGCATGATCACGCTATATTGAGGAAAATCTCATTAAAAAAAGCAAAACGGCAATTACTTTTATGGTGAGTTAACAATTTCTTATCAAAAGTAAACTGTGGATGGCGGCTTCTTTCTTTGTAAACTGATGAATCCTGTATATGAAAGAAAAAAATCCTGGAGTTGGAAGCAACACTAATTTACATCCGAACAAAACTAGGTAATTACGAAAAACTGACAGAAGTAGTATAAATATAGCTTGAAGCTTGAACGAACCGAGTAAATGCATAGTACATGCTTTTAGAAGTTATCAATAAAAAATTTGTAGGGGATGTCGAACTAACTGCAATGAGAAAGTGTACATTATAAAGTATCTTTTAAACTAGAAGTGTCATCGCTTA